CCACTGTGGTTGAGTTTCCCTCATTCCCACAGCCAGCTGCCTTCCTGGTACAAGTCAGCCCTCTTCAATGAGCTGCACTTCCTGACGGATGGGGGGACCATCTGGATGGAGGTGCCCCCAGATTGCTGTGCTGAGGACCTGCAGGGGCCTGCAGGGGCTGGCCTGTCCCATCTCTTCCCTTTCCTGCGGGAATACGGAAGGTTTGCTTATTTGGAAGGTAACTTGCAGGGATGTGATGGATGGTCCCAAGTCAAGCCCTCCCTGCTACTGTTACCAGATGTTTTTAACCTGCCATGGGAATGCTTTTCACACCACAATGGGTAGGGAGCAGCTCTGTTCCCAGGAAAACCCCTTGCAGCCCTGTAGGATACGGCATGAGGTCTTCCCCAGACCCCTGGTGCTCTACGGAGAGAACAAAACCCGCTTGTAACAGGAGTCTCTGTCTGTGTCGGGAAAGAGTCCACCCTGATGGGCCATGTGTGAGGGAGGACCTGCCCTTCTTTTTCCCTCCTTGAGGCAGGTCTGCTGTCCCTCACCACGTCCCCTGTGTTTCCAGGCCAGGAGTACCGGATGTACAACACCTACGACGTTCACTTCTACGCCTCCTTTGCTCTCATCATGCTCTGGCCCAAGCTGCAGATCAGCCTGCAGTATGACATTGGTGAGGGAGCCAGGAGACCCTGCCTTGGGGCCTGCTGGGGTCTTCAGCTGGGGAAGAGATGAAGGATTTGGGACAGCTCCTGCCATAGAGACCTGTGCCATGGAGCCGGCATCCCTCTCCAGCTCCTCTGCTGTGCCCAGGACTTGCAGATCCCCAGTGTTGCTGCCTCAGCATCTCTGTGCCCAACACTGGATGCCTTCTTGTCGTGCTGGGGGTGTACAGGTGATTGTGTCTGTCGTGGGAGAGCCCCTGGTCTTGCCAGCTCTGTCTGTGCCCCTTGCAGAGGAGACACATTTGGCTGTTTGCAGCCCCTGGTGCTTTGGCTGGGCTTGGGGGCTGCTCGGTGGTGGCCTGAGCAGTGTTGCAAC